TGTTACAACTCTTACTAAAACAACTCTTACAAAGAGCCAAACCTCTTTGTAGAGCAAGATCAGTAGTAGAAGTGCTACAGCTCTTACCAAAGGACCAAGCCTCTTTGTAGAGCAGGATCAGCAGTAGAAGTGTTATAACTCCTACAAAGAGTCAAGCCTCTTTGTAGAGCAGGATCAGCAGTAGAAGTGCCGCAGCTCTTGCTCCTTCTTCCTCAGAAGGCTGCAACAGCCTGCTGAAGTCTTGCTCTTCTGCTCTATCTTTCTGGACAGTCTGCAATGGTCTGCCCCTAGGCGCTCTGCTCAGGGGTTTATATAGGGGCAGTTGTCCAATGAGCTGAGAGCTTAGCTGATTGGTCTATAAAATAGACCAGTCAGGATCAGGATTGAAAATGGACCAATCAGGGATGCACTGGAGGAATTGCCAGTGTTTTCCCCTGATCGGTGGTCTTTTTTGTTACTGGAGCCTCGGGTGGGAGAGGAAAGCGCCCCGTTTGGCTCCAGCCTGCTGGTTTCTGTGCCAGCTGCTACCAAGGCAGAGCCTGCAGGTCCTCTAGCACCACTCTACTGGAACCTCTGGTGGAGGAGGGAAGCTCCCCTGCTTGCTCCAGCCTGCCACCAAGACAGAGGTGGCAGGTCCCTCAGCCCTGCTCGGCTGAACTGGCTGAGGCACCACTTTTCCAGTATCACTTGGACACATTTACATTTTTTTAAAAAAAACCATATGTACAGTATTTGTGAATTACTCAGTTTTAAGGCTTTTTTCTTAGGCAGTGCCTGTGGCTCAAAGGAGTAGGACGCCGGCCCCACATATGGGAGGTAGTGGGTTCGAACCTGGCCCAGATAAAAAACTGGGAAAAAAAAAAAGGCTTTCTTTCGTCGTCTTCTTTTTTTTGAGACGGAGCCTCCCCCTGGGTAGAGTGCCATGGCATCACACTCACAGCAACCTCCAACTCCTGGGCTCAAGCGAGTCTCCTGCCTCAGCCTCCCAATTAGCTGGGACTACAGGTGCCCGCCACAGCGCCTGGCCATTTTTTGGTTGCAGGCATCATTGTTGTTTGGTGGGCCCGGGCTGGGGATTCGAACCTGCCACCTTAGGTGTATGTGGCTGGCGCCTTAGCTGCTTGAGCCACAGGCGCCGAGCCTTCTTCTTCTTTTTTAAGAAACAAAGTCTCACTTTATCACCCTCGGTAGAGTGCTGTTGCATCACAGCTCACAGTAACCTCCAACTCCTGGTCCCAAGTAGCTGGGACTACAGGAGCCCGCCACAATGCCTGGCTATTTTTTTGTTGTAGTTTGGCTGGGGCTGGGTTTGAACCCGCCACGCTTGGTATATGGGGCCAGATGCCCTACCCACTGAGCCATGGGTGTGGCCCTTTTCTTCTTCTTTTTGAGACAGAGCCTCACTCTGTTGACCTGGGTAGAGTGCCATGACATCATTGTAGCTCACAGCAACCTCAAACTCTTGGGCTTGACCAATCTTCTTGCCTTAGCCTCCCAAGTAGCTGGAAATACAGGCATGTGACACTTTGTCCAGCTAGTTTTTCTTTTTTTTTTCTTTTTGCAGTTTTTGGCCTGGGCTAGGTTTGAACCCACCACTTCTGGCCCTACTCCTTTGAACCACAGGGTCCACCTAGTTTTTCTATTTTTAGTAGAGAACTCCTGCTTTTGCTCGGGCTGGTCTTGAACTCCTGAGTTCTATTAGTCCACCCTCTCTGCCTCCCAGAGTGCTAGGATTACAGGCGTGAGCCACCCACAGTGCCTGGCAAGCCTGGCCAATTCTTTTTTTTTTTTGAAACAGAGTCTAACCATGTTGCTCTTAGTAGTGTACAATGGTGTCACAGCTCACAGCAACCTCAAATTCTTGGGCTTAAGCAATTCTCTTGCCTCAGCCTCCCAAGTAGCTGGGACTATAGGCACCTGCCACAATGGCCTAGCTATTCTTTTTGTCATAGTTGTCATTGTTGTTTAGCAGGCCCAGGCTGGGTTCGAATCTGCCCGCCCTGGGGGATATGGCAGGCATCGTAAGCACGGTGCTACAGCACCTGGCCCGTGTCTGGCCAATATTAAGGCTTTTACTTATTTATTTTTGAGACAGAGCCTCACTTTGTCTCCCTCAGTGGAGGGCTGTATTGTCAGTCAGAGTTCACAGCAACCTCTAACTCCTGAGCTTAAGCAATTCTCCTGCCTCAGCCTCTTGAGTAGCTTTGACTACAGGCACCCACCATAGTACCCAGCTGTTATTTTAGAGGAAAGGTCCCGCTCTGGCTCTGGCTGGTCTCAAACTTGTGAGCTCAGGCAATCCCCCTGCCTTGGCCTCACAGAGTGCTGGGATTACAGGTGGTGTGAGCCACTCCACCTAGCCAACTTTAAGACTTTTAAAAGTAAAATGATAAACAATAAAAAATGGGGGGTTTTTTGGTAGAGACAAAGTCTCACCTTATTGTCCTTGGTAGAGTGCCATGGCATCACACTGCTCACAGCAACCTCCAACTCCTGGGCTTAGGGAATTCTTTTGCCTCAGCCTCCCGAATAGCTGGAACTACCATAACGCCCGGCTATTTTTTTGTTGCAGTTTGGCCAGGGGTTGAGTTTGAACCCGCCACCCTTGGTATATGGGGCCAGTGCCCTACCCAGTGCCACAGGCGGCACCCTAAAAAGTGATTCTTAATTCCCTTTGGTAACTTTTCTTGTCGTGCATTCTACTAAAAGATAACGGGTTTGGTTTTCTAATCATTTAGAATATTTGTTTAGTTGGAGGAGTTTATGTGTTAGTCTTTCTCTGGCTATGATAGGTCTGGACATTGATTAGGCAAAGAACAGAACTCCTTGCTTTTCTGGTTCTGTTAACTCCTTCCAAGTCACAGATTTCCAGTAGATAACCCTCCAACTTCTACAAGGTCGCCAGCAGATGACCTTTGAGCTCTTGTACCACATCCAGAGTTACTGAGCTATGACTGTACCAGCTCTGAGTGGCATTCATGCCACACCCTGAATTGCTTAAAAGAGCTCCCCCCCCCTTTTAAAGAGGTCAATCTTTAAAAGCAGTCTTTGTGGCAGTCTATCTGCTTGCAGATGTCCTCTTTTTTTTTTTGAGATAGTCTCAAGCTGTTGTCCTGGGTAGAGTGCCATGTGTCATAGCTCACAGCAATCTCCAACTCCTGGGCTCAAGCCATCCTCCTGCCTCAGTTTTTCCGTTTTTAGTAGGGACGGGGTCTCACTTTTACTCAGGCTGGTCTCGAACTCCTGAACTCAGGCAATCTACCAGCCTAGGCCTTCCAGAGTGCTAGGATTACAGGTGTGACCCACTGAGCCTGGCTGGCTTGCAGATGTTTTAATAAATCTCTGCTATTAACTCTCCTCCACTTGGTTCTTTACAGAACCTTCAAGTCTCACAATGAGCAAATTGCATTTATTTTTATAACTGATGTTTGTCATTAATCCTGTCTTTTTATGTTGCTTTCTTTGATTCTGATTGCAGTGCCCTACTCTTTGACGTCCTTCCCCCTCAACTCCCATTAATCACACAAAACCACAGGTAGGTTGAAAAATGGTGCTCTTTAAATAGTGAATGCCTAAGGACAAATTTTGGTTTTGTTTGTATTTTCTTTGGGAGGGCAATAAAAATCTTAAGTAGATTTTTTTTTTCTCTGCTTAAAAAAGCCGCCCAAATCATTGATTTTCCACAATAGGTCAGGAAGAGAGGAAATCTCCCTGGATTTATGGAAAGGCAAACAAAAAGTGCTAGGGCAGTGGTTCCTAAACTTTTCTGGGGTCACAGTTCCTTTTAAAACCTGTTAAAAGTTTAAAAAAAATTGGCTCGGCGCCTATAGCTAAGGCGCCAGCCACGTACACCTAAGGTGGCGGGTTCGAATCCCCAGCCCGGAAGCGCCAAACAACAATGATGGCTGCAACCAAAAAATAGCCGGGCGTTGTGGCGGGCGCCTGTGGTCCCAGCTACTTGGGAGGC